AATGACAGTTAATAACTATGATTGCTGTTCAGATTGAGACTGCATTAATACAAACTTCAATTTAAACAGCAGCATCTTTGTCTAATGCCAAGAGGTTTATGTGATGCATAATCAGCTCTTCTAAAAAGTGTCACATTCTATGCCCTTGCCTTTTAATCAAGAAGTAGTCAAATAAAGTGCAAAAACAATGAAAAAGATGGAATACAGTGACTCAATATTACCCGACATCCTTTTCCGTGTGATATTTTACTTATCTGGCCAGTGTCAGAAAGCAACCGATCTCAGTTTTTCCATTTGGGCTGAAAGTTGAGCGTTTTGAAGAGGTAGTCCGAGCAGATTCAAATATTCAGCCCTAGTCTCACAAGAAGCGATGACTTCAACGCACACACGTCAAGTGGCCCGCACTACTCGGTAGCAGGCATCGGTACCTGGTGGAGATCTCACAGCAAGGCATCTTGCTTTCCCAAATGAAATCCGTGTGTGTAAACCCACGTGAAATTAACCTTTAGAAAAATTAAGCCCAACCAAGCATTTGTTAAACTATAGAACAGAGAGAAGCAGGTACCCGCAGGCTTGCTGCCCTCGCCTCAGTTACTGCAGACCTGGAGGCAAACGGAAAACTGGACAAAATGCAAAGTGAATTAGCAGAGGCAGGTAGGGCCACATTGATTTAGTGCCTTCCAGATTATTTTAGACAAATAGTTAGACGTCATCTAGCTTCTTTTTAACAAGCAGCTCTGCTAGCATCACATGGTTAATCATTAGTACATCTGGAGGAGACAGAAATTAGGAGAGGAACTATAAAATGGAGAGGGAGCTAAATAATGAGGGAAAAGAGTAAAAGGCAATAATGGCAGGGCATGGCAAGATTGGAAGGAGTTTAGGTGGAGTTCAGGTGGAGTTCCTGCAAGGTCAGTGTTGGCACCGCTCTTGTTAAATATTTCCACAAATATTTCCAGCCCCCAAAAACTTGGGCGCACTCATAGCCCAAACCAGAGCAAAGACACGGGTTCATGTTTGATTCACGCCGTGTATGAGGAAGCAGGACCTGGTGCAGGATCTGTAATTAACCACTGTTTTTTCAGAGAAAGGCCTGACTTCATAACGAAGTTCTTCATTGGCAAGGCTCAGCTGAGCGCCAGCCTTTAGCTACTTGAGTCACTAACAAAGCTTATTGCTGAGTTGAGTCACTGTTATAAATCAAGTATTTCTACTAGTTAAGCCAGTTATTCCTTCTCAAATACGAAAAAGGAAAAAACCCAAGTGATAATTCAGCAGAATCATTTGTAACGGCTGTGGGAATAATGAATAAATGCCTATTTTTAATTGCTTTTCCTGCTGTGCCACCTCTTTTATCTTTTCAGGTTTTATTAAGGCAGCCCTCCCATTCTGAATCGGCGGGTATGCCTTTCATCGCTCAGCGGGTTTCCAGCTCCGCCAGATGTGAACAGCAGAGACAGGAGAGGCCCAGATGCAAAGGCTGACTTCGGGGAACAGAGCGTGGCTGCCGGGCGCCCGGGGGGAGCGC